CCATATTCGATTTAAATCGTTTTAAATTTTATTTTTATACTGATATGTCATTATAATCGTTTTTCTTTAGCTAGCAGAGTAATTAAAAACCATAATATACTATATTATTTTTAAACATATATGTAACAAACAGTTTTAGTTATTAGAACTATAATCATATTACCACAGTAGTTATCTACCTATATATTTATGTAGGTGTTTTATAAATATTTTTTGTTGGTAATTATTATTCATTAAGTATCAAATAAAAAGATATATATTGAAAATTATTCGACAAATAAAAAGTAAATTTATACAATAGTGTGTAATGTTAACTTTACTTGATTTAATGTATTTATCATGCATAATTTTAAAAATAAATATTACAATTTTGCTTTCCTATATAAACTATAAGTGTCCGCATAATTTTCGTAAAAAGGGTTTTTTTGGATGATAATGAACTGGTCCGGACGCCTGCGCTAACGGTTTACGCTGGCGGGGCACCAGTGAAAGATAATAATATGAGCATGAGGTCAGGTCAGCTAGCCCATCTTGGCAAATGGCAATTTACCACGATGGTTTCCAGTACGAACCGCGTGTAGGTCAACCTGATATGGTACATTGTTAGCAATTGTGTACGCCCACATTACTAACAAGCCTCATCCCTTCGTAAAAAGGGTTACAACGTTTTTGATTCATATATTAATATATAGATTATTATGTTCCTTTTTTATCAGAGTAACAATAAACATTATAGGGATAGTAAAGTTTTATGGTTTTACACAGTAAATTATTAAATTCTACACAATTTAGTACGTATTTCAATGCTATACTAAAATATAATATTATAAAAAGGTACAGTGTGTGAGTTTATTATTGAATATTTACCATAATACCATTCTAATAAAACCGCGAGGAGTCGATTCTTTTAAAATAAATTATTAATTTCCAACAGCACAAAAGGCATACAGAAACATAGACACACCATAGACTACTTAAACTTAGAACACAGAGTAATAATCTCAAAATTTATTTATTTATTTATTGAACAAAATAAAACTTTTGTACAACAGGCGAGCTTGATGCCGTATGGGATTCTCTTCCAATTAACCTGATGATATAATCATAAAGTGTTTTGGTGTATTAATAACGAGAACTGTTTTAAATTTACTAATATATATAAATAATTATTCAAGATATATATGATAAGGTTGTGGGGGTAATCACTATTCAGAGAAACTACTGAACCGATTTTCAAAATTCTAGTACGAACAGAAATCTACGGTATTTGTGTGTATAAGAGAAACAAAAGTAACTTATTTGAGAAACAAAATCAATTAGTGATAGTTATTAGAGCAAATGCAAACCAGTGCTTAAAAACCTCACTTAAGAGGGTGAACTGGCCATCACTGCGTACAAACATCCACCATGCCGCATGTTTAGACATTTTAGTTATCACGTTACTACTAACATACTGATAAAAAATTTTGAATGTCGTAATATTCATTTTTTTAAGAATAAGTCATGGGAGAATTAAAATATTATAATAAAGTAGACTAAAAAATAAAAATGTACGGTTTTTTTATTTAACCGTCAAGTATAGATATAGACGTAATGTCGTATACATGTATGTATATAACAGTATATAAGGTAATAGATATTGATAGCACGTTATCTTAGATGTGCATTGCTGGAAGGTAAGAGACATGCAGGTCTCTTACCCCTCTCCAAATAAAACGTGTCATTATGAAAGTTTTCTTAATATTTTAATGGTGTTCTGCGCTGGCGGACGATGATAAGATGAACATGTTGATGAGGGGGGAAGGGGATTGTTAGTAATGTGGACTAATGATTCCATTGCTAGCAATGTACCATGTCAGGTCGACCTCCACGCGGTTCCCCCTGGAAACCATCGTGTTAAATTCCTGGTGAATTTGTCACGATGGGCTAACTGACCTGACCTCATGCTCATCTTATCATCCTCCATTGGTGCCCCGCCAGCGTAAACCGTTAGCGCAGGCGGGTGAACCATTCCATTATCATCCATAAAAAAAACATGTTGATGATGATGATGATGTCATGTCAGTTAGCTAAATAATAATAGTTAGTTAATTTATCAGTAGTTTATCACATGACAATATATGTTTAGAGAAAAAACAACTTTATATTACTGTAACAATAGAGTAAGTCGCATATAGCGGAACGTAAATATTTACCACTTAAATTTCGATTGCAAGTATTGCTATCGCGCTTGTATGAGACACAATGTCTTTGAACAAAGATAGTAAGAATACAAAATACAGGAATTGTTCAAAATGGTGCCTTTAACAGCTCTTGCATAGCTCACCATTGACAGGAAATTCATCCCCACACGCTGGGACCTAACTGATATTTTTAGATTGTGGAATGAACTAACTACCTGACGAGGTTTTCTCAAGAGATTATAAAATGGGGTTTTTCAAGAAGGGTATATTAAGGTTTCTTAAGGGTCGGCAACGAGCACGTCATATATCTGGTGTCTCGTGCATCCACCCTGTTGCAAGCACGGTTTCAGTAACCGTTTACCATCAGATAGGTTGTACAGGACACATTCCTCTGAGTTAGCAGTAATAGTGTATTTAATTAGTTAATTGTAATTTAATGTATTTCATTTATAGTAAAAAAAATATTATCTTTCTGCGCTTTTTCTTTATATCTCATATATAAAATTCTCGTGTCACAGTTTTCGTTCCAATACTCCTCCGAAACGGCTTGATCGATTCTCATGAAATTTTGTGAGCGTATTGAGTAGGTCTGAGAATCGGCCAACATCTATTTATCATCCCGCTAAATGTTAGGGGTAGTCCACACTTAATTTTTTTTTTTTATTTTAAGGAAAAACAACGTTTGCCGGATAGCTAGTAAACTAAATGTTCGAATTTTCGTACTCCACCGCGCAATTTCGTAAAAAGTGGAACAAAATTTTTTATTTTCGTATAAACCTATTATTTATAAAATAAATATAAGTTTATTGCATACAATACCTAAGTTGAAGGTCATAGAGCACAGAGTTAAACATCCCAACAATATCCGAGCTGAAAATGTCAGCGTTTGAGCATTCCACACGTTTTTATTGAATGAAAGCGAGACATCTGTCACAGTGAAAATTGAGCCAGTCGCTGTGGCATTTGGGGACTGTTCCCACTGAATGTTTTATGCGGCAACCTTAACTGAAGGTCGCAGCTAGGTTGGCCAACTCTGACTATAAACTTATTGGAGAAAAAACTGAGATTTTCAAAAAAATCTAAACCTTAAGTTAAATCGCTTAAGTATATATGAGTGGCAGTACAGACATCGCGTTATTTTGTTTACTTATTTAATTCAGGGTACTAATGGCCCATATTATAAATACCTTACAGACTAATGTTATCATTACATAGTATAATACAAAGTCGGTTGCGTTGTCTGTCTCTATGTATGCTTAAATCCTTAAAAAACGGATTTTGAAACGGTTTTTTTTAATAGATAGAGTGATTCTAGAGGAAGGTTTATATATATACATGTACACCAGGGCGTGTAGCTGGTTTAATATAAATATAAATTGTTTGTGTGGCCATAGCACTGACGACGGCAATCTGCCACGGTAGCGCCGATACCACACCCTTCGGCCAGTAGTCCTACCACAGGTGTCATGATGTGTTATCAGCATGAGCCGCTACTGGGAAAAAAGCTACATATGTTCTAATATAAAAAAATTCTTTTGTGGTTCGACTTTGCCTTCCAACAGGATATGTTATACGCGTTGTTCTATGCTTCTTAAGTTATGTCTTAATATGGAAGAAAATCTTGTCTATGGCCGTCCAACAAGATATGGCATAGGTACGCGTTGCTATTCTATTTGACAACAGTGATCATTTTGTAAACAAATAAACAAATATAATACGATGGAAATTGGGACATGTACCTTCGTACCCAGATCAAATCAAGTCTTAGGACAGTCTCAGGAGGACATCCTGGTCAAACTCGAATAGTGGGCAACCCTAGTTAAAATACACGTGCCCGGATAGTCAACATTTCAGCAGGTAATAGTCGTATTTTCGGTAAGGAATAGAGACAGAAACCTATATTTTGCCTTCTCTTGTCCCAAGTGTGCGCGAAGGGATTGGTATAATCTCGGTATATTTATGTTACGTATCTACTCGTACATACCGTGTCGTTTTATGTTACTCCAAGGAACATAATACTCTATTTAGTTTGTCTATGTTATTTCCTTGGTACAGATTTTTTATTCCAAATTTAAAAATACATAATACTGTATGTTACTCTATCTAATTCCTTGGCACAGATTCGTTATTCCAAATTTAAAAAATCCATACAGCCAAACAGCTTTTTTAAAAGTATATTTTATATGTGCATTGTTTAGGTATATCGAAATTGATTGTGAATAGAATTAAAACGAATATTTTAATTTTTCGTCCATCGAATGTACCTGTAATTTATTCTGGTTATATTAAATAATTGTATTTTTTGACATCATGCCCACGGTTATCTTTTATCATCGCACCGCTCGCTATTAACAGGGAATTCATTCTCACACGCTGCAATCTAAGTGGACAGTATCGGTTTTAGATGAGCTTCCTCCCGCGTACACTTAGATTGTGGAATGAACTACTTGCCGAGGGTTTCTTGTAAGACTATAGGGGTTTTTCAGAAAGAGCATATTACATATAGTTTCTTAAGGGTCGGTAATGCGCACGTAACACCCCTGGTGTTTCAGGTCTACATAGTTTACGGTTACCATCAGATGCGTCGTATGCTTGTTTGTGAAGGTGTACAAAAAAAAATGGCTGTCAGAATGTTTTTTTTCCAATTGGTATGAGAAATATTTTGTACGAGTTCTTTTCAGACAATCGCTGTAAATCGCAGTCGCTGCGAATACGGCATATTGCATGTCAAAGGTAGCGACGCATTCAGCCATCGCACCGCGCAGTTGCCGCCAAACAGTCTCCGGAATCGGACGGCCAACGTCACTGGGTTCCAATTTCGAAAATTCGAATTTCGAGTCGGGCGCCAATAATAAAATATAATAGAAATATACGTGTAATTCGGGACTCTTGAATTGCGTGGGATTATTAATAGATAAAGTGCAGTTGGCAAGCTTGCCTTGTTTATTTATAAACTTTAAATACCGAAGTGCAGCGGTGAAAATAATTTATTTCTTTCCGGATAAATTTATTTCTTGAGGTTGGTGGTATTATATACTATTTTAAAAAATATATCGGGTATTGGCGCAAATTTGGTATTTATTTACGGCGTTCTAATTTTAAATCATTTTCAAAATCTGGAAGAATATGAATTGCTCAATTTTTTTCTATTTTAAAGTTTTATTTTTAAATAGAATTAATAGCAATATAAATATTCTTTATTCAAATAAACTTTTGAATAGTCACACTTTTTTATTCTACCACTCATTCGGAACGCAGACTTATCACAAGAAGAACGAGAAGAAACTTGCGTGTTGCTCTTTCAAATAAATGTAGTACAGAATTACAATTTTAAGAAATTTGTGTAAATTATCAAATAGCAATGTTATCAACATTGCTATTTGATAATTTACACAAATATAAATAAATGAATAGTTACTTGAGTAACAAAATAAATCAGTCATAGTTGTTAGAGCAGATCCGTCAGTTATATAAGCAGCATCCGTTCACGAGTATGACGGGTAATATAGCATTCAACCATATTTTAGGGAGCCCAATAAAACGTCCCACCACTCTATACATTTAAATGAATTTCTAATCTTTATATAACAAATTTTATTTTGAACTAATCTATACATATAAATAAAATTAGAGTGTCTGTTTGTAATATTGAAATAACCGATTTTTACTACATGCATATGAATATAAATACGGCACATACACCAAAATAACATTTTTTACAATTTTTGTCTATCTGTCTGTCTGTCTGTTCCGGCTAATGTCTGAAATGGCTGGACCGATTTTGTCGGGACATTTACTAGCTTAGTATTACATAAGGAGTAACTAGGCTACTTTTATTTTAGAAAAATAAAGTTAAATTCGACGCGGACGAAGTCTAGAATAAAGTTACTAATCGTAAATCTATCTTCATTCTACCACATAATAAAGAAACTATGTAATTATGAGCAAGGAGTGTAAACTTCGGCACTATTGCAAACATAAAAAAAAAATTCATTATAAAAAATATACACTCTTTCAGATGGATATAATCTATGCAGTCTTGTCCAAAAGTATTGGAATCGAACTTATCGAACTGGACGGTAGGGAAAAAATATATAATGTAAAAACTCGACGTTCATAAGCGGCTAAAATGTCCTACACGAATAAATGATTTTTGAATTTGAATTTGAATTTATTAATTGTTAATTGTCAATTATTCAATATTTGTGAATTTGCTATTTCTACTATTGTGTAGTGGCAATTGTAGAGGAAGAAAACCTTTATATGATCACTTTATTATAAAAACAAAACTCTGAATTATATAGAATTCTTGATGAAAGTAATTTCCTTTTATAAGCACTTCACTTGGGTTGCCGCTTGCTATATAACATATAACATAATATATACATACTATAGGTATATACTTTTTACTAATGTACGACTCATCATATATTAACTAATGTACTTTATAAGCCATAGTATTCGGGCCCAGACAAGTATGTCTGTTTGCTTTTGCTGATCTCTGAAATGGTGGTCCGATTCTGACGGGACATTCACTAGTTAATGTTATATAAATAATAACGAATCTCGGGTAAGAGCTAGTTCATGTATATAGGCGAAGATTTAATCGAATCTTGGACTTGTTAGCACCGCCGTCTGAAACTAGGCTGGGGCCCGTGGGCACACAAGAATACGGGGCCCTTTTGAAAAGTAAAAAAAACAAATTATTTGGTATAAGAACAATATGAACTTTACTGATTTGTGAAAAAAAGTGTAGTGTGCCCGACAAAAATCTTTTGAAAATAAATGTGTGAGAAAAATTGACAGTCCTTCGGGAGCCCCTTGAGAATGGGGTCCCTGGGCACGGGCCCCGTGTGCCCTTATGATAAAAACGGTATTCCTTGTTAGTCATATCAGTCAGATAAAAAACAAACCTGTTCAAATACTAGTAACAAGCTTCATCCTTCGCCCACTGCATTTGCCTCTTAAATGAATTGACGGGTCATTTATCCATTCCGACTATGAATATTAGTTAGAACTATTGTTGTGTTCAATTGCGAAGAATTTGTGAAAGAAATAAATGCTAAAAGACAAGCATAACACAAGCTCTGCTTAGCGAAGCCGAGCAGTGCTCGTGTTATGGGTAACAGACAATTGCTTTTGTTTTTTTTTTCGGACTACTCTAATGCTGTTGGCCGCAGCTGGCCTTTACAGCTTCACCGGACGCTAGGGGGCGAGTGCAGATGGCACTCCAAACCCGCGGAAGGACTTATGGAGCGGCTGAAGGCTAACTCCTGCCTGACGGATACGACTTTAGTCTAAGGGCACCACTAGGGGTTCGAACCTCAGCTCAGGCCGTCGTAATATCGATCCCCATTTGAATTGGACTGGGGATCGATCGGAGGGGTAGACAACTGTTATAAATACATAGATTTTTTGTAAATACATACATAATATACATAGAAAACACCCAGATATAATATTATTTAATTATTTTCATTACAATATTTGTATTTATGAGTGTGATACAAAAAATACTCACATACAAATATTACATCGGAAGTAAAATGGTGCGCTAAACTACTAGATCACCGAGACCGTCATGAGGCTGAAGCTTATCGTTCTCTATCACTGAACTGTTAGATGAACTTCTTAGCATTCCATGGACGCACTGTGCGGGTGCTGGGTCCATTGTGTGGCAGAGAGGGGTACTCAACTGTTCCCGTGACTTGTGACCCAGGTGTAGGTTTACGGCGCCTTTTGCCGGCGTACATCAACAGCAACACTTACCTCCAGCGCTCGTGTTTCTCTCACTACCCAGCCAAATATGTGAATATTTAAATATCATAATACAAATTCTGTTCCTTTACATATTGACATAGTTAAAAATTTACATAGTTTTCATTACCACAATATAGTTTTTTCTGCTTCATTTTATATATATTTATATTAGTTAGTTAGTTAGTATTATATATATTAGTTTATATGACTATTCAAAAGTGCTTAAATTTACTTGTATAGAATAGAAAAGAAAAGAAAGGATTTTCTCTTCTATTCTATTCTATGGTATTTGTAATATAATCTAGTAGAGGTCTGAAATAAATCAATGAAAAAAAATAAAGCTTACATGTTCACCTAGTCTAAATTTAGGGAGACATAAAGAATTATTGACCATTAAACTATACTATGCCGGTAATTTGCTAATATAATGATGTAATGTTGTTATTAATTTATAAATTAAAAAAATTCCATTGCATAAAAAATACTAACATTCAGAAAATCATGTAAATGAACTAACATACATATGTAATAATAATATAAATAATATAAATCGTGGTCACGACACTAATAATCAATAACACACAGTCACAATCCTCGTATTTATAGTAGAATAAGACATTTTTCAATGTCTGCTCTGTCTAGGAATCTCACATTTGCTATTGCACTTATTTCAGCCAAAGTTGTACAGAAAAATCCAAAATATTTGGCAGAAAAATACAAATTTACTCTGAATTTTCTTAACCTACATGCCTACATAAAACAATCCGTCTAGCGAACATAAAACAGCTGGCAAATGCACTATTCACTAGCGACGACTTAATTACAGAATTTAAAGAAAAAAAAACATTTAATCTGTGGTATAACGGTTTATCTATGTAACAGAGTAGTTTAGTTTGCAGTAAAATTGTCAATGTTGGCTTATATCCAAATCACCTTTGAAAAGTTATTGGTATTTCTTTGTTTTACACACGTAATGTGTAAAAACAAGAATGTGTTAAGAATTTATTTCTTAATGCAATAAAGACTATTTATCAGGTTGTCAGGGAAGAGCGCGCGAAATTTGTTTTATGTATACATCTATACATATAAATAAAATTGGAGTGTCTGTTTGTAATATTGAAATAAACGTTTTTGTGAATATAAATTCGATACATACACCAAAATATCATTTTTTCAATTTTTGTCTGTCTGTCTGTCGGTCTGTTTGTTCCGACTAATCGCTGAAATGGCTGGACCGATTTTGACGGGACTTTTTTTGGCGGGTAGCTAGTTTTTAAATAAAAATCCGGCGCCGGCTTCGCACAGTCCCAACATTTGAGGTTGTTTTTTTATTAAAATTAAGATATCTCCTAAAGTGTTCGTTGAAATCAAATGATGTAAAAGACAGTTTTATTCAAAATTATACATTCATAAGGATTAAAATCATGTTTATAGTAACACCTTCGTAAATAATGCATTATTTTAGAAGGAATTTGATTACCATAAAAACTATTATAATGAGTTAATCTTAAAAGATATATATTGTCGTGGACTTTCTTTTAGACCTTTTGGAAAGAGGACAATTCCGTCATACGTATATTTTGCGTAACTTCAATCGTTTATTCAGCGTAATAAATATTTTTGCCACATTTTTGATTACTGATCTACTCCTATTGGTCAAAGCGTGATGTTATGTGAAGCTTCGGCGATAATATACCTTTATAACAGTGTAAGACTTTTTAAAATCGGATCACCAGGACCGTAGATTGTTCCGAATAAACAAACATACAAACTTTAGCTCTTTGTAATATTAGTATCGACACAGAGAACATAATATTGTATAGATAAAATGGTCTGTCTGGGATAACAGCGCTAAATTATTTTTTTCATTTATATTTGTCAGGTTGTACGAATTTATTTATGACGCTAAATTTAAACTTGGCAGATATGACAGCTATAATAATAGTATTTATATTTAAATACTAGCCGCACCCGCGACTTCGTCCACGTGGACCGATCAGAGGGGCGCCCGGTTGAATGCGCGATAATGTGTGTTTGAGGTCGTCGTCTTCGCCGGCGAGGACGGTGTCGTGTGTGTGTGTAAAATTGTGGTCGGGGTGGAACGGGTGGGCCCGTGGGGAGGTTACCTGCCGTTACGGGGTCGTCGGGGTCAATGAGAACGTGCCTCGGGGCCTAAGTTACTCCTAATTACATCAGCTATCTGCCAAAGAAACTCTCGTAAAAATCGCTTCAGCCATTTCAGTGATTAGCCGGAACAAA